ACGATGCGGAAACCGCCATACCTGCTCTTCCTTCTCCTTACGTTTCTGTCCTCCCTCTCCCTGTCCCTTGCAGCCTGTACGTCACCCTTTTCTTCGTACCCAGGCACTTGTTAACATCTCATAGCGCGTACGTCATTCTGCAAATGCACCTGCAAAGGCAATAGTACCATCATAGCCCTCGACGCGCCCAGCACGAAGAAGCCCGCCGCCCTCGAATTGAAACCCCGCGCCTCCAAGAAGACATGTAACGATTGCACCCGCCAATTCTGCCTAGGTTATGGCGTATGCGCAGGAGAGAAAGAGGAGAACGTGCTTACAACATGTTTTCAGAGGGACTCTGCGAAGGACCAGGCCGTTGTGTTTGTCTTCATTGGAGCGACGGTGGGGCTCTTGGGGTGGGCGGCATTGCGGCCTTATGTTGAGGGATGGAGAGAGGTACGTGTAGATGAGCGAGTTCGGCTTGATCGGGAACTGACTGGAAACAGCGTGCACGGGAGCGTCGAAGCTATATACCAGTGGCTGGTCAAGGGAACTAGCGAGTTGCAAGACTGGAATTCGTTCGAAAATGCGTTGAATGTACAATATGGACACGAAGCGAAGATACCCGAGATGATCGTTGACTCCTTCATAACAGCTGAAGAACTCCATCATGCATACATCTAATGTGACAGCAATGTACAGGCTGAGGTCGTATATAGTACACTGAAGCGTCTGGCTTCACTCTCCGCTGTCCTTCCTCTACTCTTTCTTCGATCCACCCTTCATGAATCCAAACCATCCCTTGCCCGTCTCCTCCACCTTGTGCACTGCCTTCTCTGCTGTGTTGTCTAGCGGCCCTCCGACTACTGGTGTCGACGATGTGAATGTGGATGTTGTGTCGTTCGCCCTGGCCTCTTGTACCGCAGCGGCGATGCCTAGGTTTGAGTTGCCTTGGGATTCTTGCCGCTTGATCTCCTCCACCGCCAGCTTTCTCTGCTCTGCGATTGCTTGGTCCTCCTTCCAGTCGCCGTGCAGCCACCACAGCAGCTTGGAGGGCGCCTTTCGCTCTGCCTTCTTCCTCTCCATTGCTTCTTGCTCCTCGGCGATACCTGTGACAAGAGCGGCTTGTGCGGGTGAGGCTGTTCCTGCTGAGACAGCATTGCGGGCGGCTTCGAGGATCCTGGCTTGGACTCGTTCCTCCTCGGCGAAGTAGATTGCTCGTTTCCGGCGGTTGTAGACGATCATGTCGCCTATCGAGAAGACTGCGAGGACACCGACGCAACCTGTTCAGACAGTTAGCATCATCCCTATCCAATGACCAGTTCAGCCATTGGCTACTTGGTGCCCACATACCCGTTGCAAATATCAAGCCGTAGACGGTAAATCTATGCGCCGCATCCGCCGCCATTCTGCCGTACAAGTACATGTAATCCCACCTCGTCACCTGCGCCATCTTTGCCCTGTTCGCTGCTTCTCGTAACCGCTTAACTTTCTGTTGTGGCGTTTCGTTTTTCGGTGCGGGATCCGCGAATTGCAGCGTCGTTGCCCGCCCGCCAGGTCTTGTGTGCGCCCATACTCCGGTGGCTGTAAATCGCGTCGACTCCTTCGGTGATTTCGACATAATGGGCGGAAGTGGGAAGAGCACTCTGGGGCAAGTGTTGTGGGAGGAAGATGTCGTGAAGATGGCGGAGCGGGAGAACGAATGATTCGATGATTTCCAAAAGTCGAGATGGACTAGGGTTCGATGCGGAGATTTCCGCCCATCTGCCCGCTAACGTACATTGTCAACCATACCAAGCTGAACTGCTTATCAGATCTTCTTCGTGTGTAGATCGGCAGCTCGCTGATACGTTGAATTGAGAGGGCAGCAAAATCCAGTATGAGCAGTGCAGGCCAAAGATTGCTTCTTTCCTTGCAATGTCCTTGATCTGAGCGCAAACACACGCCATGATCCAACGTGCCCGCCTTCAATTCACACCACTCTTCCGACATCTTAGCATTGGAGAGTCTCCGTAACACCATCGAATAGTGCAGTCGCGCTGTTATCGCAGACATGGCGGAAAACGTCAATCAGAACCTGGATCTGGCACAAATTTTGGCTACACTTGCGAACCTGCCCAAACCGGAAGCTCAGCCAGCTCAAGATCAACAACAGCCATACGAGCCCTATCAAAGTCACCAGGGGTACCCGGAGCCCCAACAGGCATACCTAAATCAGCAAAGTGCTCCGTATCAACAATCAGCTGACCCTCGTTTGGCTGGCCGCGCGCCTCCTCAACATCGACAGCCACCTCCCAAACCACAAGACAGAGTTTCTTCTCCGTTCATCGATCCTTCTACCATCACCGAATGGAAACAAGGTCTCCGCTGTGTGAGCAAGATAGCTTCCCAGAACCCAGACTTTGCTCCTGCAGTTCGCAAAGTAGGGCATACTATCATGTGACCTTATGTGCAATGCTTACAAATTGCTCAGTTGATGAAAGATCAAGAGTCAAATGTCAAGTCTTGGGAGGCTGGACGCAAGAATTTGATTGATGAACACAAGTTCAAGCGGGAGAACGAACGGACTCATCGAGCTGCGCTGTACGTTGCAAGATCTTTCTCATGATACAGGACTAACGTTCACAGGTCATTACCGGGTCTCTTGGAAAACACACCCGCGCTTCGTGTACGTTTAAGTACACTTGTGCTGATGGATGATTACTGACGCGGCACAGACACCAGAGCGTGAGAAAGAGGAACTGGACCAATATGACGCCAAGGTATACCGAGCTTCCAAAGCTATGGTGGACTCACAAACATCATCACTCAAAGTCTTAGGTGTTCCATTCTTTGGTGTAAAGCCACATCTGGTAGTTGGCTCTAGCTACGACCCGACAGAAGTCACCGACTCGCAGCCGACGCCGGCGGGCGGTAAGATATCAAAAGAGCAACTTCTCGAATTACAGCGGAAGATGCTGAACCACTTAATGGAGCTGTACGGGGACTGAGGAGACCTCTTTACAAAACGGAAATACTTCGTTGCCACAGAACGATCTGTATTCTGTTAGTGCTGATGGTGGGTGGTTGCCAGGCTTCGGACTTAGCTCTCTGATCCTAGACCAAAACGTTCTGTTCTCTCACCGTATCCGTTCATTCACCACTCCAAACAGCCTCTAGCTGTGAAGTTTCTTATAAAGCGTCATCCGCACGGAAGTGACGTCACTTGCGCGATGTTTTCAGCATCAGTGGAGAGCAGAGCAAGCGCGCGAGTGCAAACGCACATCAATTTCCCATTCACTCGGCCCAGTAATTGCCCTCGACGCTATTGGCTGCTGAAAGGCCAATGGAGCTAGTGCCGTTGACCGCAATCGCTCTCATAACAACAAAACATTTACCTCTTTTGCAATCATCAGCTTCCACTCACCTCACCACGCTCGTTGAAGTATTTGATCTATTCCACATTCTTTTCGCTACTCACACTCGCTACTTCCCTCTACCCACTTCAACCCCAGTCGCTCCTTCCGATACAAACGTTCATCTTCAAAGATGAGGACTGTACGCGTACTCACCATGGTCGCAGTTGCTGGTAAATAGTCTCCAACCAGCGCGCTTACTCACTTTTCCACTCTTGCTAACTCATACTCAGCAGGCGCTGCCGCGGAATCTGCCCAGTGGAATCCCGCTATCAACCACGTTCTCGCTCATGCTGTAGCTGCACGTGACGACCACTGCGCCGAGCTCCCAAAGCTCTGTACAGATGCGGTACTGCTACGTGGCTATGAGACTACCCTCACCTATCTCTGTCCCGAGAAGACCGAAGGTCCGTCTACTGTCACCGTCACTACCACCAGGACAACCACTGTGACGGGTGATCAGAGCCTGACCTCTAGCGTTGCTCCCGCTCCCGCTCCTACTTCGGACGTCGGAACTGCTCCTTCGGTACAGCCTATCCCCCACAAACCCGTCTCAGCCACTTCGGACGTTGGAGGTTCTCCCGCAGAGGAGCCCACTACCACCGTGATCATCCAGTCAACCGTCCAAGTTACCATCACTAGATCAGTCACCAAGGTCGCTCCCAGCTCTACGTCGTCATCTCTTCCTCCCCCGTCCATCACTTGGTCTTTCACCGCGGTCCTCCCTACCGATGTCAAATCCTCCTATGTCTCGAGCGGATCGTCGTCGGCGTCTCGCACTGAGGTACCATCGATAGTGTCGTCCGTCGGTCCGCCATCATTTAGCAAGAGCAGATCGGTTGGATTGTTCCCTAGCCATACTGTTAGTAGCTCGTCTTCGGTGGCTTCCACGTCTTGGTCAGCTTCCGCATCTTCGGCGGCTTCCTCGTCTGCGTTGGATTCCACGTCTTCGGCTGCTTCGACGTCTTCGATGGCGCGTTTACCGTCAGGTGGTCATCATGCTCCACCTTTCGCGAACGGTACCGCTATCAGCTACACCCCCGGCATCTTTCCCACGCTGAACGCAAGGGACGAAGAGTCCACGATGACTGTCACCTCCACGGTCACCCGCCATGCCTCTGACCATGCCTCGGGCACTACTCATGCCTCGGATACCACAACTGCTGCGGCCACTGAGACTAAGAAGGGTCAGGCCGGAGATAATAGGGCCTCGTTCATTGCCTTGTTCTTCGGCGTACTGGCTGCTACCTGGCTTATCTAGGGAGGCGTAGCTACTCCTCTTGGATAGCGGTATGGTTTATCAGTACGGAAACTCTGAAATTCATATGCGAGATTGCTACGATGGAATGTGTCGAGTTGTTTTCACGGGTGACATGATATGTATATAGGCATAGCGGCAACTCAACCTAGAAATGAACTGAACATCATGAAGCCTCCATTATCACAAAGCTTCTCTAGCTTACTCACTCTATTCTATTATAGTCTGGAGAATTGTTCGACTTTTTTCGTACATGAAGTGACGGTGTAACGACCCTCTGAAGTAGATAGCGACATCATGTGAAATGGATGGTTATATAAAACGTTCTTGATCTCGAGGTGAAGCTGGTTCACGTACCAACACAGCCATTATCTGCCACCATGATGGTTCGCATGTTCCCTCTTCCGCATATGGGCCTGCATATGACCATGAGCCCTTCCAGCAACAATAGGAGCCGCCGTCTCCGTGACCGTAACCGTAAAGACAGGACTCTGAGCAGTAGCTCTTGACGGCGCCCCAGTAGTCAGCGTAGGCGCAACCGGCGAGTCCGTAAGCACCATCTCTGAGCTAGCCGATTCGAAGCTCTGCAGGTCCTGTAGCGGCATGCCAGCAGCGAGAATAGAATTGATTTCGTCTTCGTGCTCGTTGAGATAGATCTGTCGCTTGCGGTGGCCGACAACGTCATTGCGCATCTTGGCCTTCTCTTGCGTGCAGTGCAGGTCTAAGCAGGCGTCGATGCCAAGACCCACGGCTATCTCCTCCGACGTAGCTGGTCGTGTGCTGTTGCCCGCATCTACAACGTAGGCAACGCTATCATCGGGATGAACGAGTATCTCCAGGCTGCGTTTCCTGGTTGGTTTTGTTTTACCCTGCGTTACAGCCGGGGCAGGTACAAGCGCATATTCGGGCTTGAGGATAGCGCCCATACCGCCATAATACTGATCGTACCAGTTGAGCGCGAAACCGGGTTCAGCGTAGGGACGCAGGCGCTTGGGCCAGCAGATATTGTCCTTGAGCAGATCTGGGTCGCCGGCGATGACAGGTATGTTTTGCCAGTTCATGACAATTGACGTGCGCGTTCTGGTGAAATGCAACTGCTCCCAGACTGTGTCTGTGTAGATGCCGTAATATATGCCAAGAGTCTCCGTTGAGACTGTCCAGGGTATTGGCACGGCACCGCCTGTTACATCAGTTAGCAAACAATGAAGAATGTACGCATATGTCATGGCAGGACTTACAGTCATCAACAAACTTGATCCTGGATGGACGATGATTAGAAGCGCCGCCGTTCTGGCCGCCCGGAAGATATCGCACGTAGATACCAGCGTAACCCGTATATCTACTGCCCCATATGTTATAGGGAGGCCACTCGTCAGACTCGCAATCAGTGTCCTTGATTTTCCCGTCATAGGGTGCAAACACCTTCTTCTCGATGTATGACGTCCACTCCGAGTGGTGCTCCTCATACCAGACACTGGGCGCCTCTCTGATTGGGTTGAAGTGATTGATAGCGTCGGGGCATGGTATAGTTCTCAGAAAATAGTTCGTAGCTATCGAGCGCCAGTTGGCACAGGCCTGTGGGTAGCGGTCGCCATGGCACGTCTTTTGGTTCAGAACATTAATGTTCGTGATCGAGTGCGGCATCGCGGTTTCCGTAACTGTTGTGCGGGAATGCATCGCACCTCAGGTAGCCTGCTGCTTACCCGTGCCTAGAATGATCTCGTCGGCATATACGGCGATATAACCGAGGCTCTTGGGGGGTTGTGGGAAGTCGTATTCAAAGTGAGAGTCGCATGGATTAGAATCGTTGTAGCCATCTTGGGCCCGCTTCTTTCTCTTTTTCTCACCCTCTTTCTTGTCATTGGTCGTGTCAATGGTGTCGCGTGTTTGTTGCTTCGTCTTGTCACTCCTGGATTCCTCGATACGGGCTTGCAGGTGCATACCGCGGCTTGAAAGTGATCGTTTCTGGAGGCCGCCACGGGTAAGCTTGAAGTCTGAACTTCCAGCACCTGATAGTCCGCCCGAAAAGATGAAGTCTGCGGAATACTGGTTCTCGCAAACCTGTGTCAAGACCTGCAAGTCGTCGCAGCATACTGCTATGAAAGAACCATGCGCGCAATCGGTCTTGTCGCCAGCGGGATGGGTATTCTGAGTCAGAAAGATTGTGTTATCTGGACATGACTTATCACAGATCTTACTTCCGTCTTTCTGTCGATTCCAATGGCAGTTCGTTTCGAGAATTTCGTTGTTCATGCAGAGCAGCCTGTTTTGCGAGCCGTGGCAACCGGTAGATTGCTCGAAACTATCACTGTCGAACGTCTTTCCGTGACCGACAAGAATCTCGTGGTATCCTGAACAGTGAATGTCAGTTTGGTGCTTGGTAGAGTGTATGAGATAATTGCAACTGACCTCCAGGACAGCCCATCTGCTTCCGATCGTCCTCAGACATACAAGGCGTCCAGTATGCCATCTGACCGACATAGGCCTGTTTTTTATCGGCCGACAGTTTCTTTCTTTGTATCGCGTCCAAGCCAGTCGAAGAAGTATCTGCGCTGAGATATTGAGCGGATTCGCCATCCTTGTTGTCCAGATCCAAAGCCCATACCACTGTAAACATATCAGCTACTGCAGCAGCAAGTCGCGACCATATTTGTTTAACTCACTGGTTCCAGCGAGACCAAGACCATTGGCAAACTTGATCTTCAACTGCAGAGTCTCTGCATCGTCATACGATACCCATTGATCCGAGTTCCAAGTGATCCACTTGACACCCGCTTCTTTGTCAAACACGGGTTTGACGTTGTGAGCTGACATGACACGCTGTATCTCGGCGTTGGAGAGGATACCCGCTTCCCCGGTACATTCGCCTGCCTCGGCCCCACTGGAGAAAGGGCAACCTGGCTTGCTGCATGAAGGGTCTTTAAGCGTAAAAGACCGACCATAGAAGCCTAGCCCCAGTACAACCTTGGAGCTCGAGACGCCGTTCCTCCAGAGAAGGTCGAGACCGAGAGAAATCTCTGTGATGTTCGTATGAGGATTTACCTCCTTCCGAGTATGTCTAAAAAGCCGTTAGTGATGTCATTCAACACCCAGCGACTCGGTTCGCGATCTGCGACAAGTGATCCAGACCTCATGTCTTAGGTCGTTTACCGATGTTAATGGGAACACTTACTGATTGTTACCGTCCCAAGTCCCATGGATGTCATAGGACATGACATTGAACCTGTGCTAAAGTCAACACCCGAACGTGAAGTGCAGTGCAGTGCTGTCCTGACGAAACATACCAGTCGACATATTCCTCTAAGGCTTTGACATCAAAGCCCTGGAGGTACCAGTAACTGTTGGGCAAGGTCAGGGTCAGTCCCAATTTTCCGCTGGCAGCTCTAAGCTCCTTCATAAAGGTCACAAAGTTGTCATAGTCCGCTGCGACACCTCCGCGGTCATCAGCGGCAGGATACTCCCAGTCGATATCGATGCCGTCGAAGCCATGCGTGTTGCAAAACTTGATTGCTGACCCGATGAAAGCCTTGCGGTTCGCAGCACTTGCGACCATGTCCGAGAAGACTTTGCCGCCAGCTGCCCAACCTCCCACTGCGATGAAGACCTGGAGACCAGAACTTCGTAGCTTCAGGTCGATTACTTGAGGGTATAGCATGTCGTCATAAGAGTTCATCTTCGCGATCTTGAACGTATTCGGGTCGACGAGAGCGAATGCGAAACTGGGGTGTCGATGTTAGTCGCCAATTGCAAGGACAGTTGCTGGAAGTGCCTACTTGATATGAGTCCACATGTTGGGACTGATGTCTCGCGGTGCAACCGAATCGCAGTCGCGTGCGTACGACCAGCTTTCGTAATATCCAATCGTCTTGCCCCGGGCACTTTCGCCCTTCCCGGAGGGACGGCTGACTTTGTCGCAGCCATTTTGGCAGCCTTTGCCGCAGAAGCTGGACCACGATATTAGTTGATGAGTCAAAACACCCACTTCAAGCGTTGACTTACGCCTCAGTTGTACCACAGTAACCCTACAGTCGTCAGTGTGCGCCACCAATGACTAGAAAACAGACTTACGTGCTCTGAACAGCAAACGTTCAGTGGGCACTTCTTGCCAGGCTCCTCGGCATACTGTCCACATTCTGGCTTGCGATCGCAAGTACTTGTACAATTTCCTGGAGGTTGTTAGACTGGTTCTATCGTGGCATAGATTTGCCTAGTGCTAGCAGCCTTCAGCAATAATTCGCGTACCTTGTCCACAGAAAGTTGGCCCAAAACCACAGGAGCCGTATTTGGAGCAGCAGCCTTGGTAACATTCTTTGTCCGGGCCGCACGTAGCGTCATCCTCAGCCCGTACGAAAGAAATGGTGTGAAGTATGAATGATATGAATGCAAAGCAGAACAGAATGCGAAGGAGCATCGAGCTAATCCTGTTTGCCGGCATACTGGCTGCAGCAGGTGAAGAAAGTGTTCAAGACAAAGTAAGACTCAAAGTGAGGCACCATACATCAATGCTGTGATAGCAGTGTGTATACTACAAGCTTCCGCGGCGCGGGACGATCCAAACTTGGCAGGTGCATGCCTAGTCAGGGCTATGAGACTATCCTACAAATTGGGAGAGACTTGCGGGCCGGTAGATGCATGCCCGTCGACGAAAGTGGGAGGCTGCGGATAAATTTGCAAAGTGGTTCGACATGAAAGTTCTTTTTGCCGCATGAAGCTGTAGCCGATGGAACTAGCGGATTCAGGCGTACCGCGTCATCATAAGATTTTGAAAATGCACCTACGAACGGGAGTGCGGCTCTGCACGGGTAAGGGTTAGATCCGCTTTTTATCTGCTTAGTCGGCGGATATCATTAAAGACCCTGCATCTCAAAGCGTCGATCAATAGGTCTCATACCTCGGTTTGATACCTCCAGCTAGGTCTGGAAATACCGGCCAGTCAGAAGACAGAATTAAACGCCAGAGACGGCATGCGCGGCCGAGCAGTTGAAAGTTTTCGCTAGCGACAGCGGGAGGTGATGCGAAGACGGAGATTGCTTGTGACGCTATGGTCTGTACTGGCTCGAGCAGAAGAATGGAAGACCGATTCGTAGAGTCGTCTCTTCAGCTGTTTCGTGTATTCGAAATCTGCCAGCGTCAATCTCTTCCAACCACCTTTTGACCGGCGTCATGGTTCACGTAATGTGGTCAAATGCCATCTTCATACTCTCTTGTATAGGCACGTCAAGCGCAACAACGACAATCTTCAATGGGCGGCAGTCCATCGTTTTTCCCTATGATACCTCCAAAGCATGCCTCGAGAGTTTCAATACAACTCTGGAGTGTGATCCTTCCTTTGCCAGTCTATACCGACAGACGAATTGGGTAGGATGGAACGCGTCAAACTTGGAAGTGTGAGAAGGCCCACCAACGTTTGGCACCCGGAGATTATATACTGACAATTTGCGGATTAAAGGCTTTGCACCGATAACTGCCAGAAATCGTTTGATTCTCTTAAGCAGAAGGTCGTATCGTCTTGCGGTGATCTTTCCTTCGATCTAGGAGGCGTGCCTTTCGATGCCAAACGCATCCTCGACTTCTACACCTACAAGTACAACTTGACGTGCCTACATGGCGATTCAGACTGGTGCTTGATGGAACAGCGAAAATGGTTTGTCGAGTACCTCCCCACAGTCACATGGCCGAGCTTTACGGAAAAGTGGTATCCCGATTGGTTCAACGATCCTATCAACGGTACCAACCGTATTGACGAGAATGGTACCACCATAATGCCGTATACGATTGTCGATCCCGGTACGCCAATCTTCAACTCGCACAAGGAACAGGCTCTAGACTTTCGTTACAAAGGCGCCGAGCCAGCCCGTGGCACACTGAAGCAAGACCCGAATCAATTCGGTGGTCTAGAGTACGATGAGTATCCGACTGAGATCCAATGCTCATCGTGCTTTCTGAAGCGTTTCAAACTCGGTTTTATGTCGAGATGGGGCGAAGTGTACAACGAGGTCAAGCAGCAAGCGTGGGACAACATCCAGAGGAACTGTGGCTTTGAAGAGATGTTGTACGTCGATCCTGCTCTGGATCAGTCCGGCCCTCCTCCTGAACATGAAGCCTGGGATTGGGATGGTCCGAGGTAAGTCTTCAATCTCGTCACTTATTCATCCTTATGCTAATGGTGATTTAGTCGCTGTGACCGGGTCGTGGAATTCTCGTCGTACGGAGCGGTCAATTGCAGTACCTTCTCCGCCATGTACAAAGTTGCCACTGGAACTTTGCGAGATCTCAACAAACGTTTCGTCAACCAAGACTCCTGCATGGCTCTTCCGAATGGCACATACTGCCTCCCAGAGCCCTGCGATGCGGCGAAGCAGGTATACGACGGAGGCATCGAGCCATTCGATCTCATAGGCCCCAACGGTCCATACAACAACATCTCCTTCACACAGTTCGTCAAGTGGAACTCTGCGGCGGTCCATAGCCGCGTCATGCCGGGCGACTATGTATGCATCGGTCCTCCTGGTGGTGCGTACGTAGCAGATCTTGCGCCGGGTGGCCAAGGCGGACCGCCGTTGTACACTACCACCGCCGTACCCGCTATGGAGACGCCACCAGGAACGATCTCGAACTGCGGAAAGTACTATGACACAGTATCTGGCGATTCTTGCGATGTAGTTGCGATGAACTTCTCGATCACGTTCCCGCAACTTCGAAAATACAACCCACAGCTAGACGATGACTGCACCAATCTTTGGGCCAACGCGTCGTACTGCGTTGCGACGGTGAAAAGTGGGAGCACTAACACAGAGCCCCCTCGCACGTCCGCGCTTCCGCAAAGTACTATGCAGCTGTCAAGGACATCGTCCGCGGCAATCCCCACTACAACTGAATCGCCGCATGTATCAACGGATGGTCAATGTGGCGGCGCTGGAGGAGCGAAATGTTTGGGCAGTAGGTTCGGTGACTGCTGTTCTTCTGCGGGCTGGTGTGGTACAAGCGCAGGATACTGTGGTGGTGGCTGCCAACCTATGTTTGGTACTTGTGACGACGCAGGCGACGGCGACGCGAAGGTGTCGACAGACGCAACATGCGGAGGTACTGTTGGTTTGACATGTATCGGTTCTGGTTTCGGAGATTGTTGTTCCGTTGCAGGTTGGTGTGGCACATCTGACGCACACTGTGGTGCTGGCTGTCAATCAGATTTTGGTACCTGCAGTTCACCATGAATCAAGCTGGTGGCTTTGTTAGCAGTTTACATGAATCGACCGCAATAGCAGTAGTTATCTGGATCTTTTCTTGTGATACGATATTTACACAGCGAGCTCTCCAGCAGCTTGCACAAGGAAGTGATCAAGCCGTGAAGTAACTTGCTCCAATGTTGGAGTATCTTCTCCAACTACCTGCTGTGCACCGACAGAAACAAGCCACGGGCGATTGCGTGCCATGGACTCCAAACGATCCAGCTTTTCTAAAGTCTCAATAAGCTCTGACCTTTTCAGTTCGAAAGCCTCGCCGTCAAAGGCCCCCGAGCCCCATCCACAATCACGGTAGATCTTTTGCCACGCTCTCAGACGATTGACGTCCCGTCGCAATCTGTCGGCACTATCTGAGCCGTGATGGTGCCTCATATGCTGGATCGCGGCGCTTGTGTCAGAAGGGAGGCGAATACCTCCCGGAAAGAGGTTCTGCCTAACAATAGGGTCTTCCAAGATCTTGCGCGATGGTGGATGGGAAGCATCGCCTTCTCGGGGGTCGTAGTAGGGAACCCATTCCAGGCTTTGAAATTTAGCGATGATCTCATCAAGTACGTTTTCTGCTGGTCGCCTGGGTGCTCTCTCCCATTCGTTCCGTTCGGGTCCAATAGAAGACCATTCCGTGATCGTTTCTGTGCTTTGTGAATGTTTAGACTATGTGTTCGCCAGCAAATGACATACGGTCGGTCGTGTCATAGATTAGATCAGTACCGTCCTGTCCGCTATACGTATCACCGCTTGTCAACCTCAACATCTGAGGTGGCAGCAGCTTGGTATCCTCGTCATGGTACCTTTCACCCCATCGTAAATCCTCGACAAATTCTGTATTTCCGGAGTTGGCGAAGTATGTTACAAATTTTGAGCGGGGGATCAGTTCGACACCGTGCCACTGGTACCCTTCAACGATTTCGCTGCGCAAGGCAGGGATCAATCTTATCAAAGTAATGACCTCAGAATCCAGGCCGATTTTCTCGAAGATTGAAGTTGCGACGGTCTCGGGAGAGTGAGGTGGGCGAACGACATCAGATGGAGATATGTAACGCATCGCAACGAAGAGGTCAAGAAGCTTCGTCAGATGGGAGATGAGGCACGCATGCTTCTGAGCGATGACCTCCATTGCCGCAAGTGTTGTGGGAATGATCACGAGCTGGTGGGGTGGATGGTGGTGATGGATGCCCTTTCAGGGCCTGGGGTCGTGCGCGTACCTAAGTAGCTTCGCGATCCAATCACCAGACGCGCGACCGCGACGAACAACCTCCGGCTAGCCTTCACCACCACTCAGGCAAGCGGCATCGCCAACGAACCTCTCCCAGGACGGCTACACCCACGGTCGACTTCCGCTATTGCACGGCCCTAACACGACTCTTCCAACACATATCGGTGTGCGCGCACCAGAGCCATCCCGCCGACACGACGGCATTGATCGCCTTCGAGATTCGGACACCGCCTACGCTCACGTAACCCTGCGAAGGCTACCTCGACTTCACGACCCTCTCAATCGCCAGCCACACCTGAACAAATTGCCAAGATGGTTGGAAAGAAATCGGGGAGAGCCCAATTGAGGGAAGAGGGTACGGCATCGGGATACTACAGCGCAAACATGGCAACTAACAAGCCTGCAGGTCTGGAGCGAACGGACAACAACATGGACCTCACGACATGGCCCCAAGTTGGCATGATCAACCAAAAGAACTACTACACCGAGTTCCTCAAGCGCGACGAACAGTTCCTTGCCGTACGATACCCCAAGGACGAAGAGAGGGCGCGCATAGTACAAGAAGCCAGGGATAAGGATCGCGCACGCGCGTTGGGGGTGCCAGCAACGGAAGGGGCGACACCACAGGTTGCGGACGAGACAATGGAAGATGCCGAGGTCTCCTTCGCATCAAGAACCGACATCTCCAAGCTCATCGTGATACATCCTGGCAGCCAGAACTTGAGGATAGGCCTTGGGTCGGACGCGCTGCCGAAGACTGTGCCTATGGTCATCGCGCGCAAATGGAAGGAGAGTGAGGACGAGGAGGATGAGGGAGAGCCTAGCCCAAAGCGGATGAAGGTCGAAGGTGCCGTGCCCGCCGATGCGCTGCCTGAGAAGTGGTTCGGAGAGGATGTGAGTATTTCCGTACTCGTTTCACGGGCGATGCTAACTCATGACCAGTTTGCCGACCAGTACATGGCCATGTCATCCGAACTTAGGACGAGGATGCGATCCAACAAGCGACGAGTACTACCCAATTCGAAAGACCTCGTAATCAACTTCAACCGAAAATCACCCCCAGACATCATCTCCGAACACAATGACATCAACCGCATCGAGTGGACAGAACTGCCTGCAGATCCCAAGAAGGCACCGGACTTCTTCACTGGGCACGACGCGCTGCGGATACCCGAGAGATCCAACCCGCGATACAAGCTGTTCTGGCCGATACGGAACGGCACGTTCAATGAGAAGGACTATCGCGACCGTAATCAGATCTACCATGATCTCTCCAAGATATTAGAAGAGGCTTTCCGGAATCAACTTGGTATCACCAGGTTAAAAGACCTTGTCAACTACAAGTGCGTCTTTATCATACCAGACCTCTACGAGCGACAATACGTTACAATGATACTGGACATCCTCATGCGGGATCTTGGCCTTGGAAAGGTCTGCCTGCAGCAAGAGTCGCTTTCGGCCACATTCGGTGCTGGCTATGGTGTTGCCTGCGTAGTCGACATCGGTGCTCAGAAGACATCGATCTGTTGCGTGGACGAGGGCCTTTGTGCCGAGGAGTCCCGTGTCAACCTCAAGATGGGCGGAGCTGATGTGACGGAAACGTTCATCAAGATGATGCTTTACGGGCATTTCCCGTATGCCGACATGAACCTGAAGCGGAGATACGACTTTCTGCTTGCCGAGGAGCTGAAGCAGAAGTTCTGCTCTATGGACGAAGGCTCGGTCACCGTACAAACATGGGACTTCCATCTTCGCGCTTCGGGCCAAGACACGCGGAAGTACACTTTTAAGACGTACGACGAGACTATGCTTTCTGTCATGGTGAGTATCTCAACAATTATGTAAGATATACCTTGCTAACGAATTCAGGGTTTCTTCAAGCCTTCAATTTTCGAGAACGCGCGGAAACTTGAGAACAGGAGGAAGGTCGTGCCACGCTCTGTCGATCTCTACGACGGCTCACCCAACGACCCCATCTCGCAAGCACAAATCGCCATCATCGAAGCCGCAGCCGGTAAACCCGTCGTACCCACCATCAACGGCGCGTCAGAAGCCGTAAACAACACAGCACCCGCCTCAACCCCCCAACGCCCACAGCCAAACCCCTTCAACCTACTCGGTCGCCTCAACGACAACGAAGGCACACCCCGCTCCTCCGTCGCAGGCTCCCCCGGCCCCGAAGGCAGCAACACGCCCAACCCGGACCGCGACACCCCCATGGGCGACACAGACGGCGCCCCCCTCCTCTTCCGCGACCCCATCCACGAAAAGACCAAGCTAGCCGAAGCCCGCGACACCATCCTCCCCATCCACTCGCTCGACGCCGCGATCCTAGAATCCCTCTCCCAAGGCGCCCGCGGCGACGACCGCAAACTGCGCGACTTCTTCGGCGGCATCATGCTCGTTGGCGGCGCGTCCAAAACACCCGGTCTACGCGAGTTCCTCGAGATGCGACTGCGTGAGTTGCGACCGGGCTATGGTAAAGAGATTCTTGTGGGGCCGCCGCCGCGTGACTTTGATCCGCAGGTTGTGGCGTGGAAGGGGGGTAGTGTGTTTGGGCGGTTGAGTGGGCATGGAAATGATGGCTGGATTAGTCGGTATGAGTATGATATGTTGGGGGCGAGGCTGCTGAATAATAAGTGCATGTTTGCTTGGTAGGATGGAGTGAACAGGGATGGTGTGGATAGGTCTCGCAAGGAAGGTCGAGATGTTTGATCTGTTGGGGGGGTGGGTGTTTAGACGGGTGGGTTATTAGGTAGTGTTAGAGCGTCATGGGGTTGGTTTGGAAGGGTGGGTGGGAGTAGACATTCGGTCATGGGTTCATCCTGTTGGGCTCAACGAGGGTGGTATTTCTTGTCGAATAACAATGTGTTACGAATACAGCTTCCTCGATACTCTGCTTATGGTCATGTTTACCAAGTCAATACAGCGTTGTTTCTGATTAGGTAGACATAGCTTGTAAATCGTATGTATTCCGTCTCGTATTGCATACTAATGTCATAACAGATGAGAAGCAGACCGCTTCACCGTGGGACTACCACATCTTGCTCTCTTCGTTTCACCATCATAGCCGATACCCAGTCCTGATCCTGCACTACGCATATCACTCAGAACCCCTCAGGCTTCGGAAGCCAGCAGCTTACGACGACACCTCGGCAGGCTCGCAGACCTTCTTGTGGATCTTCCAGTGCTTCTTCTGGCAAGCGACTGAGCAGTACTTGCGGTTCATGCACTTGGAGCAGGTGAGCAGGTTCTTGCCCTTCGGCCTGTGATCGATACCACAACCACCGCACTCATCAGGCTTGAGGGCCTGGCTGCGAAGTTCCTTGACGACCAGCGAGGTAGAACAGTTCGTCCTGACAGGACTGAAGAGAAGCGGGTCCGGAACATTCAAGCCTCGGTAACCAAGTCCATTGTCGGGCTCTCCAGGCTCAGAGTTGGCCACCTCCAAGAGGGACTTTGACTCGAAGTCGTATGGTACTCCGTTCTTGAAGCCGTTTGGACCGAATAGAGCCTTATGCATCTGGCGCTGAGCGTCGGGCTTGAGGCCGCCTTCGGTGTAGACCTTCTTGAGCATGACGAGGAATGAGGCAGGGAGTTGGCATCCGTGTGTCATGGCACAGGCACCGAGCATGACGTACATGTAGCAGGGGTCGGAGAACAAGTGCTCGCACTGCTCATTCAATGATCCAGTGAGCGGGGCCAGGATCTTCGCCTCCCTCTCAGCGATCATCTTGATGAGATTGCCGGAGTCGAGCCACTTGCGAACCACTTCTTTGTCTGAGCAACCACCGGCATGGATGCTATAGTAAACAGCGTGATCTGCTTCCTCCTCGGTCTTGCCTTGGGCTCGGAGGGCAGCCTTAGCTTCATCCTCGAGTTTGCTGAGTCCAGCGAAGTGTCCCATATCGCTGATGTTGTCAAAGTCCTGGTCCGACTGGAAGAGACCTGGCGTTGTGTTAGTCGATGAGATTGTTTATATGTGGCATGTTTGGTACTCACCGTATCCCCAATGACCCATCTTGAGAACGTAGTGGTTTTGGGTATGGTAAGTGGTGGATAAGTTGACTGAGGTAGCGGTGTTGCACTACTGCGGATGACAGTTGGCGGTGCTGATCTTTGCTGCGGAAGGTGAGTGATGAAGTGAAGACGAGAGAACGCGACTTGAGATCAGAAGAGAGTACGCGTCGCGTAACACGTCATATTGGAGGCCAGGCTGCAGTTGGCTGTTGGGGAAGGAGCGAGCACGCGTGTTCCCGTGACCCAGACGCCTTCCTTACATGCAGCCATCGCGCCCTCGAGCAGCAAGATAGACCACTTCCTGATTTAGTCTTGCGCATCACCTCTGCTACGAAGCTATTAGCATCGCCAACCACCACTAAAGATATTGATAATTTCAGTGTGAGCAATGCTCCAGATAGACTGATGTTGTTCGTTTTCACCGAGGAACCACGGGCTGAATGTCTGAAGATCAAAATATAATATTAACTACTGATTAAACAAGATAACCCAAAGCATCTATGAATACGAAAGAGAAAGAAACAAATCGCTCAAAAACATACAGCAGTGCTTTTCAAACGCTTAAGCAGTACCAGCATCCTTCTCCCCACTCCTCTCACCAGGGTGTCCACCCTGCTGCGCCGCCTTCTCAACACCCTCCTGTGCCTTATCCGCTGTACCCTTCGCCTTCGCACCCTTCTTATTCTTATGGAAGAAGCTCTTAAACGAGCTAAGCTTAGCAACGCGGAAGAGGTAGTAAGTGAGAATAGCAATACCGGCGTTGAACCCGATGAAAGCAAAAATGATGCCAAAGTTCCTCCACCTTTCGCCGTAGTAAATTGAGGAGCCAGCCAGGAACTGGTCCGCGTTGGTGAGGGAACAGTAGTTGCAGCCTGCAGTCGCGTCTGGGTTCTGGATGGTGCCGCCAGCGACGGCAGCGTAGTCGGCGAGGTAGGCGCCGCAAGTTTGGCCGGCTGGGGGGTCGAAGACGGAGACTTCGCGTTCGCTGCAGACGACTTGGCGGCCGGATAGCATGGTGGAGACCATGCCGCCGATCCAGTATGTGAAGGGACTGCAGCGGTACATGAAGAGCCAGAAGCCGGGGAGTTGGTCCGGAGGCTGCAGGACACCGTTGAACAGGATGCTCATGAGAGTAAGGAGGGAGACGAGTCCAGAAGCTGTCTCGGCGTCAGGTAGCGCTGCGATGGTCATGTCGGCGAAGGTGGATGTGTAGATGAGGAGCTGCATGCAGAACAACAGGACAAGGCCCTGGCGTTCGCTAGATTGGCTCACACCAACGACGGGGTAGTAGAATGTGACGAACATGAAGACACCAGCGATGATGCCGTAGGGTATCTCCACAACGATGTTGGCAATCATGAAGGCGATCCAGCTGTATGCCTTGGATGGCCTCTCGCGCGACTCGTAGAGAGAGCGTTGGGTGACGAAGAGGGGTTGGATCTGCTGTACAAGCGACGAGAAGATGGTAGTAAGCATGAAGACCGAGAAGATGATCGTCTGCATGCCTGCTAAACTCGTGTTGGCCTTGTAGAAAGAGAAACCGATGAAGAGACCCGCGATGGCGCAGAGACCAAACTTAGCCATGACGTAGCCAGGCATGCGCCAGTATTGCTGGAAGGCTCGGTATGTGCATTCGACGATTTGCGTGGTCAATGGCATGGCGAACTCGCCGCCACCGGTTTCGGCGGCAATGTTGAGTTCCTCGCTCTTCTTGGCCTCGTGGAGTTGGTCGATATCCCTTTGGACGCCCTTGGCTTCTTCGCTTTCTCTCCACACGTCGTACCAGTCCTGGCCATTATCGTTCTTGCCGGCGTTGACAATCTCCAGCATGTATTCAGCTGGGTTCTCGTCTTCACCGCACTTACGTGCACCGTTGCTCTGGAAGTAGTCGAGGAGTGTTTGGGAGTTCTCGCCGAGCTCGCCGAAGTAGACGGTCTTACCACCGCGGGCGAGGAAGAGAAGACGGTCGAACTCTTGGAAGAGGATGGCGCTGGGCTGATGGATGGTGCAGAGGATGGCTTGGCCAGCCGAGCTGATCTTGCGGAGGAAGGCAATGATGGACCAGGAACTCTGCGCAGAAGTTAGTAATCATCGATCGTACACGGGCTGATGCAATTGTACTGACCTGTGAATCAAGACCGGAGGTAGGTTCATCAAGGAAGAGCAACAGCTTGGGCTTCGCGGCAAGCTCAACACCAATTGTCAGAAGCTTACGTTGTTCAACGTTCAAGCCCTCGCCAGGCACTCCAACAACGGCTTCGGCAAAGTCGGACATGTTCAGCATCTTGATGACCTCTTCGACGTAATCATGCTTTTCCTTCTTGCTAACAGTCTTTGGCTGGCGTAGCATGGCAGAGAATTGTAGCGCTTCACGGACGGTCGAAGTCTCGAGATGAAGATCCCTGAAATGGTTAGTACTTGTGATAAGACAGACATAAGCTGGATAACTTACTGTTGTTGCACGTAACCGGTTGAGCGTTGGAAAGCAGGATCGAGAGGCTTGCCGTTCACAAACATGTCTCCGGTGATGACTCCCATTGTGGTCCGCTGAGCCAGAGCATCCAAGAGCGTGGTCTTGCCAGCTCCCGAGACACCCATAAGAGCAGTCATTGATCCAGGCTTGACAAAACCAGAGACATGATCGAGCAGACGACGCGGCTCGCCCTTAATCTCAATGTCGTAGACAACGTCGCGCCACGTGAAAACACCCTTCTGCTCCTCAATGGCGCTGACATCACCAGCGCCTTCATGCTCTCCTGTCTGCGTCTCTCCAGACTCCTCATCGGAAGCCTTGCCACCAGGCTGCATGTATGCGGGAACATGTCCACGACGGAAGACGAGTTGCTCGGCAGTGTTGGATGTAGAAGAGTTGACCTCAACAGCGACGAAGTAGGTGACCATGAAGAAGATCAGGAAAGCCCAGAGGATACCAAAGTTGCGCCACACATGGCTCCAAGAGTAGGAGTATGAGACTTCGATGTAGCTGTCACCGTTGATGAACGTCTGTCCGGCGACTGCACCCTGTGTGTTGCAAATGAATGAGTCGCCAGTTTGTGCGTATCCAGGTCCTGACGGGATGAAGGCATCGCAGGGAAAGTCGACTCCATGGAACTCGTTCGCAAGCAAGATCTCGAATGCGTAGAAGATTGGATTGATCCAGCGAATCCAGCCGAACCAGTCAGGCATTTCGGGAATGCGGATGACGAAACCAGTGTAGATGACCAGAATGAGGACCAAGACACCAGCGCCTGCCATGGCTTGCGATGCAGTCTTGGTAACAGCAGCAGTCGTTCGGAAGATAGCTGCCATGACGAAGGTTGCCATGTAAGTAACCACGAAGAACAAGAAGAACTGTCCTGCAGTGTACCGCAGTTGGGCCAGGAAGTACAGAATGATGTTGAAGACGACTGCCTGAATGAACTTGACAGGAATATCGGCAACAATACCAGCTATGGCTTCGGTAGACGGGTGGTAAAAGGCGTAAGAGTTGTGCTTCTCGACGATAGGCCGCTGGGCGTATAGACCTGCGATTTCACCGATGGAAGTAAGAGCGTTGAAGAGAATGGCCAGGAAGATGACAGCTCCGCGACCTTGGAACGAGCTGGAGCCTGTTGAGTGACCGAAGTAGATGGAACCGA